GAGAGAGAGAGCGCGAGAGAGGGAGGGAGAGAGGGAGAGATGCAGTGTTCTCCATGTTGTGGGCTTTCCACCAGGCACACTGCACGCAGTAGAAGTCAAATGAGGCGAAGGTTACTTGCAGGGATTAGTTTGTATCTCATATTTCTCTGTTTTTATTCATTATTTCTTTCTTGTAGACTCTCATTAATCACTGCAGAGATCCAACTTGGTTTCTCTTTCTTTGTTTTTAATTAATTTTAGAATGATAAAGCAGTTCAGAGAGACAATGGAAGAGAATAAATCCTGCATATAAGAGGTTTTCATTTACATTTTTTTATTTAGTAGATGCTTTTATCCCAAGTGACTTAAGTGTGAATAATACAAGCTCAAGTGATTAGTCAGAGGGAGAAGTACCAGTAGGGCTGACGTATCAAATGGGTGCCAAAGCTATGAAATATATATGCTAATATAATTTTTTTTATTATTAATCAAAGAATACTGAGAAAAAAAAAGTATATTAGAATGATTTCTGAAGGATCATGTGACACTGAAGACTGGAGTAATGACTGCTGAAATATCAGCTTTCCCATCACAAGATTAAATTACATTTTAGAATATATTAGAAATTGTATACATAAAGCGTATACATAAATACATGTTCTATAAATACATAAAGTCATGAAGCCTTCAGCCAATTCCTGGCTTTCTCATTTGGTCCCACCCAGTAATAAGGCAAGTTCCCTTCCAGTATTGATGTTACAATGTTATGAGCTTTGCTGTTAGAAACATAAAAGACAGAGAGACACCATCTGGTTGAAAACACTAGCTATATGCATTAAATACTATGCGTTAGTCAATTGCAATGTAATACTCAATTAATGTCTACCTAATGACTTCTGGATCAATATCTCACCATCTGTAGCCTATATCATGACAGTTTATGATCTTAGTTCACTGGCGGGTGAGTAAGAGAGGAATTAACAGGATAGTTCACCTAAAAATGAGGGCCAGTTAAAGGATAGTTCATACTATAAAGAACCTAAAGGGTCCAATGGTCCATTGACTTTCATTGCATAAACAAAAATAGTCAAACAATCTTCAAAATATCTTCTTGCTAAGAAAGTCATACAGGTTTTGTTCAACATCTTTGAACGACACATCCCTTGAACTGAACGATTTTGATTTCCAAAATCCAAACTTTATCTCAAATGATATAATCATAAAGGATCTTAGAATCTTTCATTTAATTCCAGCATCGACAAACCTAGTTATTTGCCACCACACCAACTGCAAACAGTTGCATTTCAAAAAACTATGACCGCAGACAATGGACGCTACCCGAGAATGACGCTGCTGCCCATTACAATTAGACTTCAACAAACTGACAGTGTCCAATCCAACACAACATTTCAATTCAGGTTAATGGATTGGTGGAGACGCTCACTCATAATCACACTGACAGAGTTCAGTCATTTGTGAAATGAAAGGGAGTGAAGTAATGAGAAGATTGGGGTCTCGAGAGAGTGTTGACGTCCTCAAGTCTTCCCAGATCAACACTCTGTGTGCCTCCTAAAGCGGCCACACACACATAATCCTGTTACCCATAATGCAAATCTGTGTGCATTTTGCATTTCTGTATGTATATATAAAACAATTATATGAATACATAATCTTACAGGTGCATGAAATGCAAAGAGAAGAGCGACAAGAAGAACAAAAGGCAATAAGCAGATCTGATCAGCTGAATAAATGATATCAAAACGAGAAATTATCTTCCACCAGTGGTCTCATTTGAAAGCCATACTTTTGAGTCATTGCCAAGGCAACCCCTGTTCTCGTTCTGCCAGATAATTCAAGAGCAGTCACTGTCATTTCACCACATCTGTCAGTGGGGCACAAGAATATCATTCAATAACACAGTGACGACTGGCTCCACTGATGATTAAGGTGGAAATCATGTAATTAAAGTCTGATTGACGGCTTTTATCTTTAAATTTATATTGAAACAGTTACAGGTGTGTAATATTACGGGTTGGTTGAATGGAGTGCTTGCGTGCGTGCACACGCGCACACACACACACACACACACACACACACTTCATCAGGACAGCAACTTTTGAGAGCAGCTTTGTAGTTGCAGGTTGACATGTTCAGTCCAATCTATATTTGGACCCTCAAAAGCACTTGAGACTATATCAAACCAGGGGCAATTCTATGATTTTCATTTTAGGGGGGCTCAGCCCTCAATGAGGGTAAGGTTTCATTTTTGCTGGAGGAAACAACTGTAGTGTGATGAGGAAACACATCTTTCGTAAACTGTATTTATCACAAAGAACTGCACAATTGCAGATATTATAACAATCTATCGATATCGCTATAGCCCCCCTAAAAATGGCCTAGCAACGCCCATGTATCAAACCCTGGAGATCTGCAGTATTTCAATTACAATAACATCCTGAAGCTATTCAAGGTAGGACATTCCTCAAAAAAAAAAAAACATGTTAAGAGTAAAGCCACACACCTGATAACATATTAAAAAAGACACACTATTTGAAATCTAGGCTCTTTCATGTTTCACCAAATGGTCCGTTGTAGGTTTCACATAGTGAAATTCATGTAGTTCAATGACTAAAATGTAATTAAATAAACAAAAATAATAAAAAAGCAACCTAAAAACCTAAAACTATTAAAATGAGGAAATAAATAAATAAATACTGACATGTTAATAAGTCCTTATGTAAAATAATATAAAAAATAAAATGTCTCTTTCAATGTTTCAATCAGATCCCTTTTTAATAGTTAATATTTTTTATTGCTTTAATCTTAACTGGAGAGCAAACAGTAGATATAAAGCCCATTGACAAATAAGTGGAGCTCATAACTTGCTATAGCACACCTCTCTTCCTAAAGAAATAAATAAAAATAATAAAAATGCAATAATAATAATAATAATTTCAAAACTATGAAAATTAAAACTACAACAAATTATAAAAATAAATAATATTTATTATTATAGTATCATAGTATTAAATGTCTTAGATATAAATAAAAATGTCATGTTTCTTTCAGATCCCTTTAAAAATATTTTGATTTGCTTTATTTTAATCTTTGCTTGAGGTAGTAGTACATAGTACATCTAAAAGCTACTGATAAAAAACGAGATGCTAGCTTGCTATAGCACACCTGTCTTCCTTCCTAAAGCCAAAGTTTATCACCTTGCTTCAGATCACTCTGAACCCTGAGTATGAGCCACAGCCACAGTCATACTTGCCTATAAGCAACACCACTAATAAGAACACCACAGTCAGTAAATGTAAAGTAGGTTTAATAATCCATTAATCCAACTGTGTGCAGTGACATTTTGACTGCAACAGCAAATGATTTTTACTTACAACACGCAGTTGTGCACAGTCTAATGAGATGTTAGAGAAATAAATTAGCTAAAAATATCTGCATACAGGCAAACAGATACCACAGATCTAGCTAAACAGTAACTGTAAAGAACTACAATAGAAAAGTGAAAAAGAACAATTTGATGATGCAGTTCGTCATATTTCAAGTCACAGCTGGTGGTTAAGACTCATACCATATCATATCTTCCTGGTGTGCACAAAAATGTCATATTTTATTTGTAAATCTATCCCAAAAATTCAAGTACAACCCTGTACGGCAAAGGACAACTGAAATATCAGCAAATATTTGTCATTCATTAGCCTAAAAAATCTTACTGCAATAACGCCATGAGAAAGGAACGGATTTTGAAAAAGACGTCATGTGACCATGGCACGCTGCTCTAATGAAGCGTGCATAATTAACTCATAATTAGCTTCCATTTGCCTCCTGCGCTCTGTCTTCTCCACCCCATGCTGCAAAATTACTATTTTATTATAAGACACATCTTAATGTCCCTGTATTACAATCAGAATTTAAATTTCACACACTCTAATTCTCCCATCCTTCTTTAAGATGCTAATAAGCATTCATTATGATTAGTGACGCTTCTTCAACCACGATGATGCTCTGAGATCTCAACTAATGTCTCCTAATAGCCCCGTAAACAAATGAATGCAGGTATATCCCTACAGTAAAAAAAACACATATAATGTACACAGAACTGAACTGTAACAGAATA